AGACACCAGTGTATTAAAAGGTGTGGAGGAAATGAAAGTTTATTTTTTGAAGTTATTTATTTATTTTATTTATTAAAACATTTCTAAGTTAATGTAAAGTCCCCAGATTTGTAAAAGATTAATGATGGTATTGATGACTTGATTCAACCCATCCCTTGTGGGTGCCACTAGGAACTAGCTGTGAGCATATGGGCATAACTTTATGCTCTGGACACAGATATGGGCACAGATTATGGCTATACACTTTGTAAATACTCTTGAGGCTTTTGTAAGTTCAAATAGAGAAAATTTGTATGCATCAGCTCCAACCACAAACCTCAGGCAACACAGGTAACTGTCCTCAATTACAATGTGAAAATAAGCATCCTTGAGGTCAATTACAATAAACCAATCTGGGGAAGAATTTCATATAAGGTCACCACCCAAAATTTCTTGAGGATAATGTATGAATACTATGGTTGAAATCTTCCATTGCTCTGAGACACAAAAAAGTAACAGAAGTAGAAACCTTTCTCAGTGTTGTAGAACTCACTTGATTGCACCTTTTTAAAGAAGCTTATCTATTTCCAATTTCAGTGCTACTGAAGGTGCTGTGATACAGGCGCCTATAAAGGAAGGGTGTAAAATTCAACCCAGTAGCCCCTTTATATAACTGAGAGAACCCAAAGTCTAATGATATGGCAGCCCACACAAGGTGGAAAAGGGAAAGCCTAAAGTTGAAGACAGGGGTACAGGCAGGAGGATGAAGATGAATGTGGAAGTCAAAGTTGATGTTTTGCATAATGGTCCTTCTTCCTGAAAAAAGTGTAGGTCTTGCAGGTTAGTACTGGAGTTTTAGCAGAGAACTGAAATTGATGTTACCAGTCTCCTACAGCTGGAGCATGGAGTTTCGTGGAACTTCTGTCATTGACAATACTGAACAAATGGATCTGCATTGGATCTATCTTCCTAACCATGATTTGAGCATTTTACATCCAGGCCATGGTATCATTAGTACCTGTGTTAACTAATCTATATCTGTCAAATGGGAGGCTTGCAGCAGACCAGCAGAATGAAGCCAGGCATGCCTACAAAATGGAATGACTCTCACCGATGACTTGGCATCACAACCCACGTAATAGATGGCTATATTAACTTGCTGCCTGAACAGTTTCATAATTTCAGTTTGAAAAATCTGTGCAAGCTTCTGCCAATATTCTGGCAAGTGGTCATACAGTTATCCCATCCCCCCCCCCACAGAAAAAGCTGGTACTTCACCATTATGAACTTGTAATTTGAAACTCTCAAATTCCCCTTTTGCAGCAGATGAGTAAATATATCTTCACATGAAGTTAAGTTGCCTGACCAACATATTGACTAGGGAAGAGTGAATGTTGTAAGACGAGTTCTGAGACTCCACAATTACTGAATTCAGCTGTGGATATCTACCTCTTTGCCTCTCTAGCCATTTGATGTCAGGGACTGTTAACACAGAGACTGTTATCTTCCATGATTGTTATAGAATGGTTGAAAAGAACAATATGGCTACTGTTGTTGCTACCTCTGTGGATCTATCAAAAACTGGATCTTTGAGCTTTGGTTCTGGTTGCTGAGTTTCTAAACTCAGGGACTGGGCCACACTTGATCAGAAAAAATGGCCCATGTCCTCAGATTGCAAGGCTGGGTCTTATGTACTCATTGCTGTATCTAAGGAAGAGATGGAAAGCAGTACACATGAAGAAAGGAGTGAATTAAAGTGGTAGTCTTCTCCCAACAAATGGAGTGAACTGCTCTGTGAGGCAAGAGATATAATGGTGACTAAGCATTGTATAGAAGTCGAGAGGAACTCAGCCTGCAATGGCTGTGGCCTTGGTTCATGTAGTGCTGGCTCAAGAATTCATACAGACCTATGGTGGAGGCATCAAGGTATCCCAGTATGGAGTACAACAGGGTCAATTGATAACTTAGTAAAAACATTGATATGGACAGAAATGATCATATTCTCATCTCTTCAGCCAGCTATCCCAATAATAATGCCTGGGGTGAGGGGGTGGGGAACCATTCTGAGTGTTGGTCACAATCCAAAGCTAGCCATTGGAAACATTCCTGAGATCAACACACCAATGATCTGTTCCTAGGAAAATAAAGAGGACATACCTCCAATGACTCTTCTCAGTGCTGCTACCTGTGATATGAATCTGGGTGCTATGGGGGAAGGGGGTAAATCTATCTCCCTTTGCAGTGGAGGCAAGCAACACTCGATCACTTTGGCAGCATTCTCAATAGCAAAAGACTTGAAGCCAAGGTAGCTTTTAGCATGCAAAGTTCACCTAATAGTGTTGTAGTGGAATTGTACCACCAGTACTGCTGTTTCCAATACCTTTCCCAATAACACTAGTGGTACAACTGGCGCTCGCTCGCTCGCTCTCTCTCTCTCTCTGTGTGTGTGTGTGTGTGTGTGTGTGTGTGTGTAGAAACTGAAAAGTGTTTGAAGATTTCACTTCCTTTGTTTTTCCACCAAGAAGAGTATAAAACTCTGGCCAGGGGTAGGCAGCCTATGATTGGTGTGTACTGCTGAGATGAAGTAGCTGATTTTTCCAGCTCTAGGGATTGAGAAGCTGTGGATGGAACCTGAATGAAAAGCTTCTAGGGTTTTGTTTTGTTGTTTTGTTTTTGGCCAAAGGGCAGGCACAGTCTATTTTGTTCAGCGTATCCATTCATGATGCCTGTATGTTGTTGTTCCAGTGGCTATCACTTCAAAGAATCAGGCCCAAACAGAAGACTGCAGTTTCTGTATCTGGGGGAAGTGGTGGTGGGAATGACTTTTCTGGTATACAGAAATATATAGCTGCTTGTAAATTAGACGAAAATTTAATTTACTCAAAAACAGCTGTAAACTTCTGGGCACACTCAGTTTCCTCAAGGAATTACAGGGAGTTAAGTCTAAAAGTGTGTGTGGGAGTTAGATTGACCAAATAAGGTCACTAACAGTTTAGTCTTGCTTTGAAGCAGTCGCATCAGTTCCCAGGCCATTTCCAGACTCAATTTCAAGTGTTTAAAGTCTGAAATGGCTCAGACTTTCAAGAACTGCCTTCCTCCTACACAAATCTACTCAGGTCCTAGTCTTGTATGAATTCCTTTCCATCTGACGTGAAAGAGGTAGTGATCTAGAACAGGGCCATCTCTGATGTGCTATGCCATTTTGGGGAATGGTATTCATTCACCTGGCACCAAGTTTTATCTATGTAACCACCCAGGGTTTTGTTAAGCTATGTTTTAAAACGCTTTTCTGTTTGCTTTTTTCTTTTACTGCATTGTCTTGTTCCTGCAAACAGTTCTGGAAAGTTATTAGGTATGAAAACAAGATATAATTATCTAAAACAATCAAACAGTATCTTGGAATGAGGATGAAGACTGAGAATACACATTTCACAGTACACACTAAACAATCCTAATATCTTCCCAGAAGCTTTATGGTTTTAAGAGCTCCAATATATTTGAAGAGAGACATATCCATCGTGATTATGATCAGAGCAAAAAGAAAAATGAAAAAGAAAATTTCCCAGCATTTTGCAATTAACAGTATCATGTTGTACAATATCAATATCCCAGTTGTTTACCTTTTTCTCCCACCACGACAAAGAACTATACTAAATCTCTCATCGTGTCTCAAGCATATTATGTAAAAGGTTCCTTTTTGGTATAAAAGGACCATGGGGAATAAGTCTGCCATTTCAGAGAAAGCACGACAAATATGGCATAGTAGGTCATGTGCTGTGTTTATTATTAGAAGCTTGATATTGTGCTACAGCAACTGGCAGTGCTGGGATCTGGTCCCTCATTCCAAGAGAAACTATTCTATATTTCATCAATGTGCTCCAAGTATGCCTCAATGTTCTTGTTTGATGATCTCTCAGCTCCTAAGATATTCAAATTTGTTCATTTTTCAAATATTGATGATTAATGTAGAGAAATAGCTGCATTTTTGCAGACATTTCCTATATCATGTTAGTGGGCCACTTGAGTAAGCACTGAGTTGTGCAGATAACAGCTGAAACTGGACTACAAGGACGGAAATAGATTATAAAGGTTGTGCTTGCTTACTGTGACGTATCCCCAAGATAAGTTTTCCTTTAATTAGACAACTGGGAATGGAGCTGGAATTCACAGGGTCCATATTCCTTTCTGACAACACTCTATACCACAGAGCACTTTAGATAAATCAGGATGAGCTACAAGCTCCTGACATTTTCTTGTAAGCTGTGCAAGTGGTCATTTGGGTAATATGAGCTTACAAACAAGTAATGTACTTAAGACTGCCAGCAGAACATTTAGGTACTGAAATAGGAGCATCATAGTTGAAAAAGCACCTATACCATTCATCAATATACAGGTAAAACATATGGTTTAGTGCTGATGTATAAGTTCATAAATTACTAGTATTAGGAAAATTGTTTACTATGGAATAATTGCAAATCTTTTGTAATATTAAGATTCAACAGGCAGCAAGATGTTGCCATGCATAATCTGTTGTGCAGTGAGACAAAATTATGCAGTTACCCTTACATGCAAACCCTTCAGATAATTTTAACACAGCTGCAAAGACCACAAAGCTACCAAGGGATGTACTAAGATACTATAGCTAATGAAACAAATGGGGCAAATGGGGGTTTGCAGGGAGTGATGAATTGACAAATGGGTCAAAGCTTTGAACACACGAACAAGTTTACAGCATTCACAATTTTTGTTGGCAGTGACTGCAATAAAAATGTACTATGTTCTAATCTACATTAGCTCTCAAAAGAGGGTGGGCTACTTCATAAAGTATGCATGTCACAAGACAAGCCAATATGCACAGGAAGCTATATAATTAAGGTACAGGATACCCATGCATGCTATTGTTACCTTTGCTGCCAAAACAGGTACTGTAGCCATTTTTATAGCTTTTCTGAAAAGAAGAAAAAAAAAATCTGCAGCCGCTCCAGCTAGTGCAAAATACTGCTGCCAGGGTTTTAACTCACATGAGGCAGAGGCAGATGCAGATGCTGAGTGTCACTCCAGTCTTGAAGGAGTTACACTGGACTCTCCTGTCAAAAAGAAAGAATCAAACTGACTTTAAAACTGCAACAGTGATGGTGTGCCAACAACGGTGTGTTCATTTCTTGGCACTACTGGCTTGAGATAGACCAAAAACTGGCCATCTATAGGTAAAATTCCAAATCCATAAAATGGAGCGTTTGCAAGAGACTTCAGGATAAAGGTTTTGTTGTTTTTGTAGAGAATAGAGAGGTCATATGGGGATCAAAAATGTCATCTGATCCAAATCTAACTATTTAAAATTTTATTCCAGCAGCAATATGGAATTTAAAATTATAAAATCAGATCAGGTCAGGATTAAATATTTACTTCATATATTCCAATTTAGTTGGAGTGTTTGGGTTCTCCTCATCCATATTTCACTTCTCATAGGTACAGACACTTATAGTAATATATAAATAGCTAGCATGTCCTGAGAGAGGGAAAAACATACAAATTTACTAAGACATTCATTTAAATAAATAATGAAACTTACACCTAATAATTCTGAACATGTTCAATGAGAATCTAATATAATAATAGAAACTATCAAGCTATTCTGTAAGTGTCTGGACTGGCCATTGTAATGAAAAGCGTGTCAAGTTCAAATACTTCCAAAAAGATGGGAGCTCATTTCCTTACACTTTTAGTATTAGATCTATGGGAAGACTGTGAGAAATGCTGGCAACACAAGGAAGCAGGAAGATGAGCGGACTAATGCCCATACAACCCAGCCTGGGCATTTTGCATGCAACACAGACAAGCGGGATATATGCTTAGGAAGTCTGTGAATGTACATCTGATAATGCATCATTTTGCCCTGAAAGAAATGGTTGTAATATGTAATACATATTACAGTAAATGCAGGAAGTATGGAGGTGGACTATGAGGCATGATCCTACTGTGCTATTAAGTTTACAAATCTTGTATTCAGGGCTTGAAAATACTGACAGAAATTCTATACAATCTTGCTTGCAAGCAAGATCAGCAAATGCAATAAGGACTTTTAAACAAACTAAGACTGTGGTGTAAACCAGCAATCATATGCACATTTATGAGTCAGTAAGTTCCTTTATATGCAGTAAGGCTTACTTCTCAGTAAACATGCACTGGATGGCATGCTGTAATTATTTAAAATGCAGCTATAAATTACATTTTAAATCAGATTTTTTTTGGAGGGGCAACATTAACTATAGTCCCATATTCTTAAAATATCCGTTAAAAATGTGGGATGGTATAGATTGGTGTCCTACAACAGCAGGGGGTTGGACTTAATGGCCTTCATGGCCTTCCTACGCTACTATTCTATGATTCTACGTATATACTCAAGTGTTTTGCCTTGTTTTAAAGCAGGATAGACTGAAAGAAATAATGGGCATGAAATACAAAGAGCACTGATATTCCCAGGGTAATTCTGTTTTTTAAAAATCTGTATATATATATATATATATGTGTGTGTGTGTGTGTGTGTGTGTATTTTAAATCACTCTATTTAGTGCTGAATTTCTTTACTTATTTAACAAAGAACTCATTTAATCAAAGGACTTTATTCTGAAACAGTCTGTGAGGATCATAATGCTAAACGAGGAACATACTACACTTCCAGGTTATCAAAACAAATTAAGGTTTAAGAGCCCTGCTGGATCAGAGCAAGGATCCATCCAGAGCAACATAGGCCTACAGAAGGTATTTTTGCCAATTCTACAAGCAAAACACAACAAGACACTGTATGTTCTCACCATTCAACTCTCACGTGTATACAGTTCCACTGGAACACAGAAATTACCGTATTTTTCGCTCTATAAGACGCACTTTTCCCCCCTCAAAAGGGGAAATGTCTGTGCGCCTTATAGAGCGAATGTGTGTGTGCCCGACACCTGGGACGCTGCCGGCCCGCCTGCACCACTTGGCACCACCTGGCTGGCAAGCACTTGGCGCGCACTGCTTTGCCCCCCCCCACCCCCGGTGCAGGTGAGAGCTGTAAAGCTCAGAGAGAGCGATGCAGAGGAGGAGCAGCCGCGGGCTTTAACCCGCCGGCCGCACGGAGAGATGGACTGCTCACCCCCACCGCACGGGAAGACCTGCCGCTGCCGTGCCACCCAGAAGACCACCGCCGGCATGCTGCCGGCCCAGCTGCACCACACCTGGCTGGCACGTGCTTGGCGCGCCCTGCTCTGCCCCCCCCCCCCTGCGCAGGTGAGAGCTGTTAATCACAGGTCGGTGTGTGTTTTCAAATGGCAACCCGTCTTTTAATGAAGCCCATGGGGAAGTGATGGGGAATGTGCCTGTGATTATCAGGAAGCTTTCCATGGATCCCTCCTCTAAAAACTATGTACGTCTTATGGTCAGGTGCATCTTATAGAGCGAAAAATACGGTACATTCTGCCACTAGTTGCCTTTTAAAGCATTCTAAACCACTAAAACAACCTGCAACACTGAATGTTATTAAGTAAGCAGTATAGATAATAAATTGACTAGAAATATCACTTCTAAATGCAATTTAATACCCAAAACACTTTAGAAAAAAAGTCTAATAACTACTTCAGGATAGTTTTAATGGTTATCACAGTAGATTAATTCAAATGTGTTATTTTCAGCACAGTTTGTTTAGTATAAGCTGTCCAGGAAACAATTTGTTGTTGTTGCAAAGTCATGTCCAGCTCTTCACAACCCCATGGACAATATTCCTCCAGGTTCTCCTGTCCTCCACCTGGAGTCCACCCAATTTGTACATATACAAAATTCAATAACTTAGCTACTTGAGCTGTAATATAGATGCTTAAAATTTCACATTAAGGGAATTTATCATACATAGTTATAAAAGACATATTATGTTGGAGACACATTTACAAGATTGGAAAAGCCAACACCTAAACACTAGATATGGGAAGAGAACAAAGTTCCTGTTTACTTTGCAAGAAACTAGTCTTATGTATGGTTCATTCAATATTAGGCATGATCTTCAGCCTTTTCCCCATTTCCCCCTTTGTCAATGTTCTTTCAAACCCAACTCTAGTTAACATGACAAGGAATGCATTTAGAGATCATCAACAAATAAAGAGAATATATAAATTCAAAGCACATTAAAACATGGATATGTTCTGATGCCACCCAATGAACTATTTAAAAATTGTAGTATGTCCCTTGCTGTGTAAAACATGCTCTTTTACATTATGCAGTTATAATTTGATAACCAGTCTATGAATTTGTAACCTCTTATTATTTCTTCCACTGCATAAGAACCACATACCTGTACACCTAGAATGCATACCAGGTGTTACTCTAATTGCTAAATTTCAGTAATTAATAATTTAACACTTTATATGTTTAGTGGCTACTAGCTGGAATCCAAAGTGTTCACACCAGTAGAAGATACTTCTGCTTGCAGGAGGAGATTCTTCCAAATGTAGCTCCCTGCACTGCTTCTCATGACAATGGAAAAGATGGTTTAGAATCCAGTTTGTTTTAGGTTTACTTTTCTCAATTGCTTCAGCCCAGCTCCAATTCCTCAGCAAACCATTTCCCACAGACTAGCAATCTGTCAGTTAATGACTTGTTGGGGGGCAATAGTAGCACAAATACCATTTGCTTCACTCAAGACTGGAAGTCTTGTACTACAACATTCTTTGGACATAACCAACATTTTAAAGCATGTTTCCAACACCAACGGACAAGTGTCTTTTGGGGAAGAAATATAATGAAAAAATTACATTTGAATCTGTCATCTAAGTAGATTAATCTTTTAATACCAAAACTATGACCGTAAGCAAAAAGTAACTGTACCACTACCTGACCAGATATACAAAGAGAACATACATGATTTTAAACATACAATTCTAGAGTGATAAGCACTTTTTGCTACCTCAGCCTCACTCAGGGCTTATAGAGAAAAAACACTGAGGCTGTTTGAACATAATGACAGCAAGTTATGGGCTAATTAACCCCAATTTGTCACAGCACATGTTTGGTGCATTCCACAGCTAGGATAAGTTAACTGCTAGCTGCTCATTCCATGATTAATCTATAATTCCTAGGTTCAGTTGTCATGTAGCAAGTCCGATTAGGTGGTGAATATTCAAATTGTTACATGCCCATGAATATATGGATCAACTGATTTCTGATTTGCAACCATGGCATACCCATTGGGTCTGTGAATTGCGTTTAACCTTGACTGAGAGATTAGGAGCCAGCTGCATAAGTAACACTCCTTTATACCCTTTGCTCTCAAGAGCAAATTCCTACTCTCCTTACCTCAACTGCAGAAAAGAGAAAGTTCAGCAGCAGCTTTCCCTATAGTCAATGCTAACCTATTCCTGTTTAATCAAATCTAGCTCCAATTTCAATGTTTCAGATCTTGGTTGAGAAAAAGCACTGGATAGTATGAGCAGGGTACCAGTATTTTCCTTATCTCCCTTTAAAACAAGCACAGGAAATAACACCCAGATGGTGTATAAGGAATATTCATTCCTGTGGCTAGGTCCTAATAGTGAGCAGCCGGCCACCAATCTTTTGATACCAGCTTTTCCTGCCTTATAAACATAACATTATCATCATCCATTCACTATTTATGACAGTATATTGGATAGATTAAATTTACTTTATACTTTTGACACCAAGTCAACATGACACGCTCTATCTTTTTCCTTGGCACCTCTATATTTAGGAACCTACCTCCTCCTTAATTGATTCCAAATTTAGACCATATCCTGCAGCATATTACTCTGTGCTCCTCAATGCTTGCATCCCAGTTTACCCCTTTCTGATGAAATCTATACTTAAAATGTTTGCAGATAATCTAAGTTGTGACCTATCCCAAGCACCTTTAATACTGCAGTGCAATCTATAAACATAACAAATAGGATAATATGATCATAGTCTCCTTTTCTACATCTGAAAGATCCAGTTGTTCCTTCTCTGTTTACTTTACCTGTGATAACTAAAGGCATATTGTCTAACCACTACATCTTGGGCCCTCTCCCTTTTCCCCTTTCCTTCACTTTCTTTCTTTTAAATGACTGACCAATGTTAGAATAAAACAGAAAGAACATTGTTTCATCTGTCAAACCACTTGCCATGTATTTTAGGCTTTGTCGCAAGTATTTATACTTTTTCTTTTATCTTGTTCCACATAATTACAAAAATTGATTTTCTTTTGATGGCTGTGACAAGACCTGAAGAAATAAAATGAATGTGTGCAGATCAGCAGTGGGCAGAAGGCAGATCAGGATCTACTGGTAGATATATGAGTGATTTGCAGTAAATCTACAAGAGAGTCTGAGTTTCTATTAAGGATTTAGCCTATATCTCATATTGCACTTTCAGTAGTATTACTTCAAGCAGGTCAACATTTGGTCCCATCTAAAGTATTTTGTTCTTAAAAACAAAACAAAAGAACAGAACTATTCATGTACATGCCCAAACGCCTCTTATATTGTAAGCCAGAAGAGGGGAGAATTCTTTTTAGGGGGTATCCCCACTTTAGAAACAGGAGCAGTGGTGCTAGAAATGAATAGTGACTGATCAATGTCCCTTCTCTTTACCACTGAAAATACCTTTAAAGGGCTTCTGTCAGGGCTGGTGAAATCATTACCCCTGCTTCTGCCAAGGGAAGGAGACATTTCTTGAAAATATAGAGCAACCATTCGATTTGAATGGTGTAATTCATGTGTCTGAGATAGGTGGGCCTGTTTCCAACATAGACCTGGTCATTCAGTAGTGCTTCTATCGCCTTCATTTTGCTAATTTTTACTTCATAATTGTTAGTGCTGCAGTTTGGATTTTACTACCCTCATAGGGCAAGGGCTGTTGAGGTCCTTGTAAGGGCACAGGACTCACACCAGATACAAGACAGAAAGAAATTAAATGGGTGTAGCTTTAACCAACATCAGAGGATGGACACAGCACCATTGAATATTCAACTTGTACTAAAGTTTCAAGGAATCAATCTATTTTTGATAAAGCCCAATACTTGAAGCTCTCTTTAAAGCAGTAAAAAAATATAATTCAGAAGAAAGAAACTTCTTTGGAAAGAAAAACCAAAGGTGCTTAAAGAAAAAAAAATACGAAGAAGTATCTGTTGCTAACATTTTGGAACAATATCACGCTTTATGCACAAGAGGGCTGCATACTTTGGCCTTGCATGTGGTATGATCTAGGTTTAACCATACAGATTTAGCCACTATCACATGGTTCATATTATTGGAAGAAACTTCACTCTCCATGTTGACCAACCAGTCCTCAAAGAAAAATAGGCACTTTGCATATCAATGCATGATCACCCTGGATGTTTCCTGGTTTTTTGGTTATAAGCCAAAGTGAAACTTTCAGCCTTCATGATTCCATCCTATGCTTTTTCACATGGCTCAGTAACACCGATATGCTATTTGAAATGCATGAAAGGAGCACCAGTTTCCAAACATTACAGTGGAGAAGGACTGCAAGATAATTCACATATTGATGAACAGAAAACCAAAGATAGAAACTCACAGTTAGCAAGTGACAGGTATCACCCCATTCATTTCAAAAATAATCCACTGTATGGCCAATTTTTGAGAATCTATAAAAACTATTCTTCTATTCAGATTTTTGAATGAGAAGCAAAGGAGACAAGGTGTCCTTTTTCTGTAATAGAACTGGCAAAGGCCATACACAAAAATAGGGTAGATTTATTGAATCACAATATAATGAAGAATTGTTCTGTAACCTGTGATAAGATGGGAACACAAAAGAACTTAGTACTGACATTTACTGAATATTTACTAGGATCCTCACACAATGTTCAAGAGAACCAGGAATTTAAAGGATTGGCTGATATGCAGTAACATTCAACCACTGCTCAAACAGTGCAGCCTGTCCTTCC